CAGGGAATACCACATCCAGCTGCCCAGCCACTCAACCAGGCCCAGCCAAGTTGACACACAAATTGAACTACCACATGTGGTGCATGATGTTGATTGTGTTTCTAATGTTGAAGCATTCTTGCATACCTGATATGAACTCCACTTGGTCATAATGAATTATTTTTTTAAAATGTTGGAGTCTGTTGGCTAGGATTTTGTTGAAGATTTTTGCATCTATATTCCTGAGGGATATTGATCTGTAGTTTTCCTTTTGAGTGATGTTTTTGCCTGGTTTTGGTATCAAGGTTATGTTTTCTTCATAAAATGAATTAGGGAGGATTCCATCCTCTTGTATGTTTTGGAATAGTCTGAGTTGGATTGGTGTCAGTTCTCTGAATGTTTGGTAGAATTATCTGGTGAAACCGTCTGGGCCAGGACTTTTTTTTGTTGGTAATTTTTTTATGACTTGCTCAATTTCTTCTTTTTTATTGTTCTAGTCAACCTTTCCACCTTAGTCTTTGTTAGTTTAAATAAGTAGTGTGTTTCTAGTAAACTATCCATTTCTTCCATATTTTCAAATTTGTTGGAGTACAGTTCTTCATAGTATCCTGATATTTTTATTTCAGTTGATTCTGTTGTGATGTCACCCATTTTATTTCTTATTAGTGTTATTTATATTTTCTCCCTCTTTTCCTTTGTTAAATTTTCTAGTGGTTTGTCAATTTTATTAATCTTTCATAAAACCAACTTCTAGTCTTATTGATTTTTCCTATATTTCATGGATTTCTGCTTGAATCTTTATTATTTCTTTTCTTCTGGTGACTGTAGGCTTTTTTTTTTTTTTTTTTTTTTTTTTTAATATGCTCTTTTTCCAATTGTTGGAGATGTTGGTTTAAAGTGTTGATTTTGGCTCTTTCTTCTTTTTTGATGTGTGCATTTATTATTAGAAATTGGCCTTTGATCACTGCTTTTGCTGTGTCCCCAAGATTTTGGTATGTTGTGATTTCATTCTCATTTGACTCAAGGAATTTTTTAATGCCATTTTTTATTTCTTCTCTTACCCAGTGCTTCTTAAGGAGGGTGTTGTTCAGTTTCCATGTGTTTGCTCTTTTTCCGTTGATCTTGCTATTGTTGATTTCTAATTTGATAGCATTGTGATCTGAGAAGATGCTTTGCAGTATTTCAGTGTTTTTGAATTTATTAAGGATTGCTTTATGGCCTAAGATATGGTTTATCATGAAGAATGTTCCATGTGCTCTGTAAAAGAATGCATATGGTGCTGTTGTTGGGTGAAGTGCTCTGTAGATGTCTATAAGGTCAAGTTGGTGGATTGTATTGCTTAGCTCTTCTGCATCTTTGTTGACATTCTTTCCAGTTGTTCTATCTTTCATTGAAAGTGGTGTGTTAAAATGTCCCACTATGACTGTGGAGTCATCTATTTGCCTTTTGAATTCTGTTAAAGTCTGATTTATGTATTCTGAGGCTCTTTCTTTGGGTCCATAAATATTTATTATGTTTATGTCTTCTTGTTCAATTGATCCTTTAATCATTATATAAGGTCCTTCCTTGTCTCTTGTGGTGGTTTTTGTCTTAAAGTCAATTTGATCAGAAATTAATATTGCCACTCCTGCCATCAGGATCACTGACAGACGGCAGCTCTGTATGTCTCCTTTTTTTGGTGTTTTCATGCAGGTGCTTCTAGTAGTTGGAGTTCAGTCCACTTCTGTATCCTTCCTTTCAAAGCTCAGGGCTCCAGGATTATCTTCTGTATCTGTGTTAATTGGTTCCCCTTTTCTTTGTTAAAGAGGGTCTGTGTTGTCTGTCTGCTTATTCCACCATCTTACTAGAAACACTCTGGAAGTATTTTGAGGTCAAGGAAAATTTTCACACCAGAACAATTTTAAATGTGTAAAGTAATGAAATGGACATAAAATGATCAACATTTAATAAGTAAAGCCAAATCATTTTTGGTACTTAAGTATTATTATTATTATATAACTTTTGAGATTAAGAGAAAAAATAACTCCAAAGTTGTACCATAGTATGCATGTTAGTAAGGAAGTAATCAAAGTTAAAGACCCTATATTCCTTGAGTTATTGGGAATTTGGTTAAAATGTGCTTAAATTTTGACTCTAAATTTAGAAAAGCATAGGAAAATTTTAAGGAACATATTAAAATAAAACAAAGTATAAAAATGGAGTAAAAGAGATAAAATATCTCAACTGATCTAAGCAAGAGAAAAAAGAGGTAAAAAGCAAATAAAAATAAGATAAATAGAGAACATAAATTAAGATGCCAGAAACAAATCCAGATGTTCTAAAAAAATCACAATAAATTAAAAGATGAACTAAACTTATACTACTTAACTTGTTCCAGTGCTTTCAGTCTCTTCTTGCTCCCTGCACACCACACACCTCTGTTTAGATTCATCTTCTTAAAACGTCCATTTGCAATTGGCTGACATATTTCTCTTCCTACTTCCCAATGTTCACAGAATATAGTGTAAGTTGCCTAGCTTAGTGTGGAAAATCTTTCATTATGTGAATTCAGTCCACCAATCTGATCTCTTCTCACCTGTCTGTCATATCTCTCCTGTCTAATTAGTCAAGAAGCTTCATTTTCTCACTAAAAGTATGGGTTATTCATTTCATACCTTTACTCATATTTTGGTCTCTTTACTCTGATAATCATATGGATACACAACATAAGTAATATAACCAGTGGAACAAATTATAGAAAATAGTAAGTGTTTCCTGCTATCCAGGTATTTGAAATCTAGTGAGGTGAACATTAAAATCAAAACACAGACTGATTAATTATATAAATGACAAAACAAGGCATAACCAGTGTTATAATTAACACATGTGTGTGTGTGTATGTGTGTGTGTTAGAGAGAGAGAGAGAGAGAGAGAGAGAGAAGTGTCCTGCCTGATGAAGGAGTTGTGGAATCAGAAGTCTTGATGGTAGGTATACAATGTCCCTTTTGTTGAATAGTTGAGAAAGTGGTTTGTTTTTGTCCCTTGTGTAGTTCAAGCACTTATTTATGCAGGTTTTTGCATATCTAATGCCAGTTAGCCTCTGTAACATTTGTTGACATTTGGTCTTTGTATCACAAACATCTAGTATAGCAAATTACTAGGAGGTGAGGAAGGGATTATTCCTGGGATCATGATTTGAAGAGACCATACAAAGAAATATTTCTGGCAAGGATTTTAGTGTCTATTTTCTAAATTGAATTTTAATTACAAAAGAAATAATGGGACAATCCCAATATGCTATTTTTTCTGTGACAAAGATGAAGACTGTCATCTTTCCACAGATGTTCTTGACACTCTGGAGGAGTAAGAAGGGATGACAACTCTATCTTCCAATGTTAGAAATACCACCTCCTTCCATTTTTTTTTAGTGCTTATTAATTTTCAAGATATATAACTAATTTTAATCCTTCTCAACTCACTCGTTCCGCCTTCACCATAGCCCCAAGGGCTTCTGTACTTGGATTGCTACTACAATAATCTCTTTCTTTTCTCTTTCTATTTAGCCACTGGTTCTTCACAGGATTGCCTATAGAATTGCCTGGTGAAATTTCAAAAAAATGTTGAGGACTAGGCCTCACTCCAATTAATTCATAATCTCTGAAGAATACACTCGGACACTGTTATTATTATTATTATTATTATTATTATTAATTCTCTCAGTAACCATAAAAGGGAACCAGGTTTGAAACCTACTGTTCTAACTTCCTTCCTAATCATAGTAAGCTGAGTATGCCATTACATTAATCCCGTTAAAACTCTGCTTTGCTCACTTTACTACTTGACCATCTTTAGCTGCTAACTAGAAGGTCAGTGGTTGGAAACCACCAGCTGCTCTGCAGGAGAAAGATGTAGCAATCTGCTTCTATAAAAATTTGCAGGCTAGGAAACCCTATAGAGCAGTTCTACTCTCTCTATAAGGTTCCTATGTAGTCAGACTGTACTCAAATGACAATGGCAACAGGTAGCTCTTAAAGCTTCTTCTTCCATGAGTGTCAGGAATAGATCATTATCTTCTGGTTCCTTCTTTCTTGATATTCTATCATCTCTGTTTCTCAAATGTACTCATTCATACTACTCTTACAACAACAACAACAAAAAAGCCCCATATTATAGATGCCAGAAATTCACATGTTTATCCTTAATCCTCCACTTCCTTCTCAACTATATTCAACTATTCATGAATTATGTTGATTTTGCCTGTCAAATATCAAAGCCATTTTTACCCTACTTCAAACTGTCATCATCTTGGGCATGAACAACTGATATAAACTGAGGTAGTTTCCCAACTGGTTTCTTCTACAGCCTTGCAATCCTTTTCCATACATTCACCACTGAAATTATTTTGAAATTAAAAAAATAAATCTCTCATCATACAACTGCCTTTAATCCTCTCTCATTACTCTTAAGATACTATCTAAATGGTCTTGTTGGAATCTGTGCTCAGTCCTCTAGAAATTCAGAAGTCTCCCTTTGGCCATCCTACACCTCCCTCAATCTATAGGTTCCAGCTTCCTTTCATTTCTTCAGCATCTCTGCTTCTCCTTCCTGCTGCTCCCCTCCCCTTTTTGTCTTCTTTACCTAGTAAATTCCTACTCATTCTTTAAAATTTAGTTCAATCGTCGCTTCATCAAGACTAGACCAAGGATTCCTGCTATATACTCTCATAATATAGTCCCATAATAATCTGTCCTTAATTGCACTTTATTTAAGTGTTTTTACTCATTTTGTTTCATTAATTGTTTAATAAAACAGTTATAGTTTTGCCTAATATAACTTTCCCAAAAGAATATAAACTCTATGAAGCTAAGGAAAAACCTGTTTCTTTCTATTATTATTTTATTCCTATGCTTACCTGGGACATAGTAGATGTTCAGTGATTGTTACTAAATGAATGGAGAATCACACTAATAGAGAAGATTTGCAGAGTTGGAAGAGCTGTAGAGTTTGTCTTCAAGAACTCACATCCATTCTGTCCATTTCAGGGAGGATTAAAAGCAGTTGTATGGACAGATGCATTTCAGATGGTTGTCATGGTTGTGGGCTTCTTAACAGTTCTCATTCAAGGATCAGCCCATGCTGGTGGATTACATAACATATTAGAGCAAGCAGCAAATGGATCACGACTAAATATATTTGAGTATGTACAATATTATTTTTTTCATGTTTTATAAAGATTTAGATGAATGATCTCATCACCTAAAATGATATCTATGCATCAAAGGAATGTTTCTGTTCACTTCTCTCTGCCTCATAGCTTTGATGTAGATCCTCTCAGGCGACACACCTTTTGGACAATCTCAGTGGGAGGAACTTTTACATGGCTTGGGATCTATGGAGTCAATCAGTCAACCATCCAGCGATGCATCTCTTGCAGAACAGAAAAGCATGCCAAACTGTAAGTCATTCATCAAGACATATTTCTGCTTTCTCTGCCCTTTCTTGAAGGAGCTCTGGTGGCATTTTAGTTAAGGCATTTGGCTACTAACCAAAAGGTTGATAGTTCGGACACACCCACTCCACAGGAGAAAGATAGGGCAGTCTGGTTTTGTGAAGATCTACAGCCTTGGAAACCCAATGGGGGTCACTATGAGTCAGAATTGACTCGATGGCAGTGAGGTTTCTTTCCCCACCCCACTGCCCTTTATTGAGCACTTATTTATGTTTATTATACTGTGTATAGGATCTCTGGTAGCGTAGTGCCTAAGGCACTTGACTGCTCACCAGAAGGCTGTCGGTTCAAACCCACCAGCCACTCCTCGGAAGGAAGGTTGGGCAATCCTACTTCCGTAGTGATACTGCCTCGGAAACCCAAGGAGGGGTCGCTATGAGTCGGGGCCGACTTGACAGCAAACAACAACAACAACAATACTGTGTATATGTATACATGTATGTATTCATATATGTATATAAACCAAAAACCCAAGCTCATTGCCACTGAGTTGATTCTGACTCATAACAACCCCATGTGCTACAGAATGGTACTACTCTATAGGATTTTCTTGGCTATAATCTTTACAGAAGCATCTCACCAGACCTTTCTTCTGCAGTGCTGCTGAGTAGGTTCACCAACTTTTAGGTTAGTGGTTGGGCACAAAGCATTTACACCAGCAGGGACCTTATATATGTAGAAATACATATATATGTGTATACATTTATGTTTGTGTATCTCAAATGTTCATTTAGTGAGTTGGTTTAATTCAAGCAAAAGTCAACACTATCACAGTCACAATGGTCCCTTGGAACTTGTTGGCTATGCAAACTGTCAGAAAAGGAAAGATTCTCATCAAGAAAGAAATTTCCCAAGCATTCAGGATGCTGCTTCTGGCTTTACTCATCCCCACTGCTGTGAAAGGTCCAAAGCTATGATAAGAACTTTGTGTAAATGAGAAAAGATACAGAGAAGCACTCTTTAGAAAAGACTTCCCTGAGAGAATCAAAGATGATTTAGTTAATACTGTTCAGGAGTGAGAAATTAGTAATATGGTCAGTAGAGTTGTTTCAAGAGCTGGAGAGAAGATTGCTATAGGATGGCAATGAGATAGGGTCTCATTTGTCACACCACTGGAGTATCAAGGGCTTTCCTGGACTTTTGGAGGCCACTTAGAGCCAGCTCCAGATCAACCCTCAGGGGGCTCTGTCACATGCTCCTACAATAAGTTATGTTTGCTCAATTGTCTAAGAGCTTGATGTAATTGAAACTTTTCATCAGGGTTTAGGAAAATCTTTGCTGCTTGGAAAAAAAATACATCTTGAAATACACATAGGTGAATAGTTAACTAGGAGTGACTGATTATATGTGCATGTAATTGTGTGGCCAAGAATGCTGATTACCCACCAAGGACAGCTTAATCTTAAACCAGATCTTTCTTGCACATAGATATAATATCATTTACCAAGTCATTTGAAATGTGCTCTATGGAAGCTAATTTTGATTCCTTTTGCCTCTAGATTCTAGTTTATCTTCCAAAGCTGATGTTAATAACTGGTGCTAAGAGAGCAGGAGGAGTTGATGTAGAATATCATGTCCCTTCCCACCTCTAGCCCACCTTCCAGCTAAGATGAACACATCCACACAGAGTCAGGTTTATTCCATTACTGTTATCTTAGATTGTTGTCTCCATATCTCTTATCATATCTCAAAAAATATTATTTCAGTATTTATTACCTACCTTCACACATAGCATGTAATCTCCATGCAGGTGGCCTTTGTATTGCTCATTGATACAGCCCAAGTGTCTAGAACTGGGCCTGGTATACAGAAATGTGCTATAAGTAGTTTTTCTATGAGCCAATGAAGAGGCCTAAGTTAAAAACAAAAGTATTACCTAGCTCATAAAATAATCAAAGCCCATATCTAATGAAAAAGAAATTAACAAGTACAATGACTTTAATAATCTACACAATCTTGTCATTGGTTTCTTATTTTCCAATTAACTGGTGAGGTATTAAAATGATTTTGGATGATAACAGAATGATTACTACATGACTACATAAAACCAAAAAACAAACAAACACACACACTACCATTGAGTCGGATCTGACTCATAGCAACCCCTCCTTGGGTTTCCAAACCAGTATCACTACAGAAGTAGTTTGCCCAACCTTCCTTCCGAGGATGGCTGGTGGGTTTGAACCGCCAGCCTTCTGGTTAGCAATGTAATGCCTTAGGCACACTCATATTTTAACAGAGAACAACTTACTTGATTCTTACACTAGCTCTATAATAAAACATAGGGTAGGCATTTACACTCTTTTTACAGATAATATAATTGGTTCAGTGTCATATGCATTTTCCAAGGTCATACAGCTGTTAAGAATAAAGTTTTCTGACTCCAAGTTCAGTGTTCCTTAATTTTTTTTTTTTTAAAAAAAAGGAAAGAAAGAAATACATGGTGTAAAGAGTACAACCATATTGTAATGGATTTCTATCATTCATTCATTCAATCATTCAATAATTTATTACCTAAAATGAAATATTTTTTATATACTATATGTGAGCACTATTTCAGGTTCACTATTTTAGGAATGGAATAAATCTGACTCTGTGTGGATGTGTTCATCTTAGCTGAGAGGTGGGTTGGAGGTGGGAAGGGACATGATACCCTGCATCAACTCCTCCTGCTCTCAACACCAGTCATTAACATCAGTTTGGAAGATAGACACAGGGCAGTGTTTGTTTGAGATGGGAAACAGGTGCTGTACAAATTAATGTATTGTACAACTTCAGATAATGACAAATGCTATAAAGCTGCAAAGCTCTATAAGGAATAGAAGCTAATGAGTCATTATTTTGGATAGTTAGGGAGTCCTCTCTAGGAGATGGCCCAAGTAAAGATTTAAATAGAATTTGTCAGAATTATTGATATCAAGAGTACAACTAATGAAGTTATAGGTATTGATCATTTTATATACCAATTGTATTCCTAAAAGACTGCCTCTAAATGAACTCCCTATACACAAAAATAAACAGACAAAAAAAAAAAATTACTATAATATTCCCAAAGAAGTTGAATGACTACAAGTTACCACTGGTGGGGGGGTGCAGGGAGGTGGAGATTATAAAATATAAAATGAAACTCTTGCTAAGGGGACAATGCTCTAATGTGATTCATTTTATAAACGAAGACTTTGATTTAATGGTTTTCTGAAAGTCAGGTACACTGTTGCAGTGTTTTTGGCAATGAATATCCTTACATTTAAAGGTGGATGCATTTGAATCCCAGATGATTCCCTTCTAACAATGACTGGATCCAAGAAATGCCCAAGTGTTACTTTCTTGGCCCAATGTAACTCTTGCCATAATGGGACTTTTATTTTCAAAGGCCAGTGATGTAAGGCCAATCTTTCAGATCTCCCCTGGGATTATGAAATGACTCAGAATTTTACTTTGAAGGGCAATTGTGAATACAAAATAACCAGAGGATACTGCTAAAGTATCCCAACTGGAATTAACCGTAACTGTTTTGGGGAACAAAATTAATTGCTCCTGATATTAAAGGTAAAATGACTTTATCCATATTATGTTCTATTATCTTTAGAAAACTAAATTTTTACTTTTCATCTGAATTAATCTCCAAAGTGAATATTTTCAAAATTTGTCTCCTTCTACATTTATCTCGTATACTTCTGGAAGAAAAGATGTTAACTTGGCTTTTTTTGACGGTTTCAAGAAGTCAGTGAGGGAAAAGCACTTAAAGTTATATATTATGTTTGATTATATGTGAAATTTCATCCAAGAAAGCAGATTTCACATCACAAATACTGGGGCTTTTGGGGAAAAAAAAACCTCCCAATATAAAAAGAAAATCTTACTAGAATATGCCTTATTCAAGCATGGTAAATGGCTTTAAAATGTATTGTTCCTAAAACAAATAAAAAACAAAAAAAAATTAGATAGTATAAAATGTAATGATTTTGGAAGATGTAGAATTTTATTTTAGTAGCAATCCTCTCCTAAAAAAAAAAAAAAATTAGCTTTAATCTTTGGTAATAACCTTACGACACTATAATAAGACATAGAGGCTACCGGTAGGTCCATGTGCTCTTTTCCAGTGCCCTGTACTTTAACTTGCTGGGTCTCTGGATCATACTTGTGTGTGCTGTTTTCTCTGGATTGATTATGTACGCACACTTCAAAGACTGTGACCCTTGGACTTCTGGAATTATCTCAGCACCAGACCAGGTATGTGTTCCCTGGAAGGAATGAGAATACTTTTAGCCATCATCAGGTAATAAATACTGGGCCTTTCTCTTTGACTCGCTGGGGCACTAGCCACTTCCCAAATGCCAAGGACTTAGTTTCTTTCTTCCCTTCTTGGGTAATCTCATCACACACCAGTCTAATATGGGTAGTAAGTGTTTCAAAAGAAGATACTTCACCTAGTCCCTGAAGACAAGGTCTGGAAGACTAGGGAGAGTGGAGAGTAAGCTCAGACCTGTAGCTTTGGTTGTCCGTGTTGCCTTTTGACTCCTTTTTCTGCATGTGGCAAAGGTGATTAATGATGATTTATTATCACATTGAACAAAATGACCCTTGTGTCCATACAACATCATTCCATACTATTCACATAGGTTGAAAAGTCTCCATTTATAGAAAGCATTCTAATGAGGAGCAATAATCCTCTGCTTTCCTCCCTATGTATTCAATTGTCTTGGTCTGGTGGCATAGTGACTAAGGCATTTGACTACTAACCAGAAGGCTGGTGGTTCAAACCCACCAGCCACTCCTTGGAAGGAGGGTTGGACAATCTACTTCCGTAGTGATACTGCCTCGGAAGCTCAAAGAAGGGTCACTATGAGTCAGATCCGACTTGACAGCAGTGAGTTTTGTCTTAAAAGTAACCTTTTCCACTCCCTGGCTAAAGAGTAAGACCACACTATCTAGTTTCCCTCAAGACATATTTTAAGGTATTAAGAGTTTAGTTGCTAAATTGGGTTACTAGGCAAGAAAATGGCACACATTGCAAACATGGAAAAGGTAAAAAAGTCCCTATCTTGTGATGTTGGCTGTCTCCATCCCCTACAGCTGGACTTGAGGTCCACTGAGTGCATTGGGCTTAACTTCAATTATTGGCATCTAAAACCTTAGTCCACGAAAGATCCTTTTACATTATTATTTTATTTGTATTTATTTTTGCTTTTTCCCCATATCCTGTTCCTATAAGATTATAGTCCTATATTTCAGACACTGCTGATAAGATCATTCACCTCTTTTATTTTTTTTGGCCTCCTTTTCAGCTGATGCCTTACTTTGTCATGGAAATATTTGCCACAATGCCAGGCCTGCCAGGACTCTTTGTGGCTTGTGCCTTCAGTGGAACTCTGAGGTTAGTACATTGACAACACTTTGCTTTGATGATGATACAACAGCAAGTGCGATGATGATGATGTCTGAGCAAATTTGAGGCTGATCAGGAAAAAAGAGATGACCATGAGATAGTTTTGCACAAGAGGCTATCTCTTGGGGTGGATGGATAGACAGCTGCGTGCTGGGGGAGTTCCTGCACAGCAGCAGCTCTTCCAGAGGCGCAGAAAGCCAGCAGGCGGGGAAGAAGGCGCGGCAGACTCTGAAGATCTAATTAACCATGTTTATGTCATGTTTTCTAAGTTGATGAAAGTCCAAGAAAGCTTTTCCAGTCTATGATTATAGATGGTGATCTAGACACAATTTTGATTTATTTACGTTGTTGTTGTTATATGCCATTGAGTCGGACCCGACTTATAGCGACCCCTCCTTGGGTTTCCGAGGCAGTATTACTACGGAAGTAGATTGCCCCATCTTCCTTCCAAGGAGTGGCTGGTGGGTTTGAACCGCCAGCCTTCTGGTTAGCAGTCAAATTCCTTAGCCACTATTAAATGCTACAATTATTGAACCATTTAGGCTATATAAGTGGTAGAAGAAATGAAGTAGAGCTTCTGTTTTCTGTTTTCCTTTTAAATTAGCATTTTTTTTTAAGTAAATAAGCTATATTTTCACCACTGATTTGAAATGCTACCTTTATCATATACTAATTTTTTCTATGTATTCTGGACTTTTTCTGGCTTCTTTTTGCTCTATTTGTCCATAGCTATGTTAATAACTATATTACTTAATATCTTTTAGATTTTTTTTCATACTTTTCCTTTACAAAATTGCCCTGGCCATGTAGACTTTTTGTTGTTGGTTTGTTTTTTCGGTTGATTCTTTGGGGTTTGACTGCACTCAGTCATGATCTCAGTAAGTAATTGTGAGTTTTCTTCTTTCATAATACTTACACTGCTAAGTTTATTCTCTTCTGTAATTGTACTTTCAAAACAGTGATAAATAATTGAAGCAGAAATCATTGTTTTGTTGTGTACTTCAAAGGGAATGGTTCTTGGGTTTCACCATTAAACATGACATTGACTTTTGGTTCAAAATACATTTTTACATTTAAGTATATTCAATTAAAAATAATACACTTGTAAAAAAAATTAAGAACAAAAAGGCATTTACTTACTCTACTTTTAAGAAAGATTTCATCAGTAAGTTTATCAGTAAGGATATTGAATTTTGATAAAGGAAAATTTGGCAGTTTTGAAATGTATGTGTACATGTGTGTATATGCACACACCCATAGTTTCTTAGCTTCTGATTGGGAGCTCTGGTAGCATAGTGGCTAAGGCACTTGACTGCTAACCAGAAGACTGGTGGTTCAAACCCACTAGCCACTCCTCAGAAGGAAGATGGAGCAATCTACTTCCGTAGTGATACTGCCTCGGAAACCCAAGGAGGGGTCGCTATGAGTCAGGTCCGACTCGATGGCACATAACAACAACAACATATCAATATGTTGAATTTTTAAGATAGCAACATCCTAGTGAAAATTACTTTCACTCACTTTTGGTATAATTTTAATTTAGTATACTACTGAATTATTTTTACTAATATTCTCTCTAGGATTTTTCATCAATAACATAAAGTGATATTCTTCTGTGGTGTTGGTATTAGGATCTCAAGAGAACTAAGGACAGGAATAGTGAACACCAGAGAATGAAACACAAATAGGGGTGACACTGTCTTATTTTGTCCCTCTCTAAAAAGCTGCTTCTTCTTCTTCTTTTTTTTTTTTTTTTCTTTAACTCTTACTCTATGGATGACTATCTCTAGATGGGAGAAAGATGGCTGTCAACAGATTAATTCCCCTAAGAAAATAGTTGACTCTTTTGATTCCAACTCCAAAAACTCCAAGGAAGGGACTCACTGGACAGCATATGTTGTTGTCATGTGCCCTCGAATCAGCCCGACTCATAGCGGCCCCTCTTTGGGTTTCTGAGGCAGTATCATTACGGAAGTAGATTGCCGAACATTCCTTCCGAGGAGTGGTTGGTGGGTTTGAACTGCCAGGCTTCTGGTTAGCAGTCAAGTGCCTTAGGCATTATGCTACCAGATTACTCATGTTATAATCATTAGGAGAGTATGGTGTTAGGGAAAGGTAGTAGTAGGGATAGAATAGGAAGATGTTGAAGTTGCTCGATAGGAAAAAACAAAAACAGATTTCCAGAGTTTTGTAGCATATTTGAAATCTGAGAGTTAACTTATGGATAGATAGATTGCAAAATGAGCAGAAGTCCTACGTATCTGATCCTTCTGAGTCAAATTCAGCTTTCTCCTCTTTCCAATAGATTCTAGGGTTAAACCTAGTATTTGAAACTTCCAAATAATTTATAAGTATACAAACCTGTTGGAAGCATGGAGGTTTATTTTATTTTATTATCTTCTTTGTCTTAGTTTTCATGGAGCTGTGGTTAGGAAGATAGTCTGTCAAGGAATGCCTACTGCATCTTAATTTTTAGGAAAATGGGAGTAGTATCCAAAACACTTACTGTACCAATTCTTATAAATAGGGCTTGGAAAGTTTCTGCTTGCTACATTTGTCATTTAGGGAAAAGGACTCTCAAATTTTGCATAAGATGAACCTGGAACTATTCCAATTGATATGACCTAAAGTAGGCTAAAATTATATTATCCTGCATTATAGTAAAAAGAAAATAAGTTTAATATTTTTCTATATACTTTTATTAAACATTTGATACAGCTACTTTGACTCTTCATGTAAGCACTGGAGGATGCTAATAAATAATTAATAATAAACCATTAGCTAATAAATATTAATGAAACAAACAGCTAGCTATGTTTTATTTATCAACTTGTTTCTTTTCCACAAATTTCTGTTTGTAGTTGTAGTTTTATATCACTTGAATTGAATGTAGTCATGTATTATACTAGATAAAATATTACTGGTTGAAATGAGCAATTAAATAAGTTTGTATGTTATTCTGCAAAGAGAACCCATAGTTTCAGGTGCTCTGTCACCTAAGTGAGTTTTAAAATCATGGAATCAACTCTGGAAAGTCGGAAGGAGATATCAGAGTGTTTGTATGATTTGAGTCTTTGCCTGTTTCTCAGTGTTATTTCTTGCCCCCTTCTCCCTTGTTAATTGCATTCTAATCACACTTGTCTTCAGGATGTCAGATCAAACACACTCTTTTCCATCTCAAGACATCTATATGTAATTTTCCCTTATTATAGCATCTTTCTCCTATTTTGCATGGTTCCTATCAGTATCTATCTTCATGGTCACTTCCTAAGATTCTCCTAAATTCGTATCATCTTAGGTGTCTATGGGACATGCTCTCATAAAATCTTGATGTTTTCTTTCACAATAATTTTCATATTTATAAATAATTGTGTAATTGGTTTTTAAACGTCTGGTTTCAGGTAGAATTTAAGATTTATGTCTTTCTTGTTCACCAGTGTATGCCTATTATTCAGAATGAATAGGATGAAAGAATAAATTAATTAATAATTAATGAATGACAAATCATACTGACTCTTGGGTTAGGATATTCACTACTTCTCGCCTTAAGTCTGACCTGAACACTGTCTCTTTTTTTCTCTCTAACTCCATTTGCTAACTTCGTTGCCATTTGTGGAAGAATTGAAAAGAGCAAAGGAGTAGCTTTGATGAGTGAGTAAACAGACCATGTAAGTCCTGTGGAGCGCCAGAACAGACATGTCTCCATCTGTTTTCTGAGTCCTGCCTAGACTACCTGCTCTAGATGACAGGGCAGGCAGGTGGCTGTCTCATTTAGCCTGGACTATGTTCTTACTTTTCTCTCCTTATAGCACTGTGGCTGCCAGCATCAATGCCTTAGCAACAGTGACCTTTGAGGATTTTGTCAAGAGCTGTTTTCCCCATCTCTCTGACAAGCTGAGCACCTGGATCAGTAAAGGCTTATGTAGGTACAACCAGGGGACTTTCTATTCCATTCATGAAATTTACATGTTGCATGTCAAAGTCCTGCACACATTATTGAGGACACCCTTATAGGGACAAAAGTGCACCAAGATATATGAAAGAATCTCATACATAGGTTCTCACACTTACAAAGATACCAGGAAACTACCAGCTAGCTGCTGGACCTTATTTTCAGATGTTTTTCTGTGTTTACCCAACATTCTAGACTTATCACATAAACGTCTATTGATTACCCTTTATGTAGATCTATTCTAGTCCATCCTTCTACATGGGAAGACTTTCTGTTCATTATGGTCAGTCAATTTGTCTACTAAATGTCAAAGTCCTTTCTAAAGAATCCATTATTACCATATTCCCAGTCATCTCCCCTCAATGAATGACTGTTCCTTTCCTAATAATCCAGTATTATATCATTCATGGGAGCTCTGGTGGCATAGTGCCTAAGGCATTTAACTACTAACCAGAAGACTGGAGGTTCAAACCCATGAGCCACTCCTCGGAAGGAAGATGGGGCAATCTACTTCAGTAGAGATACTGCCTCGGAAACCCAAGGAGGGGTCACTATGAGTTGGATCCAACTCCATGGCAGTGAGATGTTGTTTATAATTACTACAATACTCATATTAAATTATAGTTTCAAAAATTTATTCCTTTTAAGTATAAATAAATTATATACTAATTTTCTTACACAAAATTTATGATGGAAAATGTATATATTCTTTAAATAAATTTGGTATTTATCCATCTAATTTTGTTCCCAATGTACCTGTGTCACTATGCATTCTTTGAAAACCTAGGTTTTTTTTTTTTTTTTCTTAATTACCTGTTCATATTTACCTGGTTTTGAACAAGTCTTTTATTCAGTAAGTGAAAATGTATTTTTTGTAAAATTGCATAATATTCCATCAAGTGCCTGATTTGCTAAGTGTTACTCTACGATTATTATTTTTTACTAAAAAAAAAAAGTTAGGTTTTGGTAACATTGTGATACAGATCCATACACAAAATATTTTTTGCATCTGTGACTTAGTAAAAACTTACAAAAGAAAATCAACAGGTAATATAACTTCATTTAGAGTTCTTGATAAATACTAAGTAATACATGGGCAATCTACTTCTGTAGTGATACTGCCTCGGAAGCCCAAGGAGGGGTCGGTATGAGTTAGTTCGACTTGACAGCAGTGAGTTTAGTTTTTGGTTTTATACTTTCAAAAGATCAAATTAATGTTTTATGTCTTGTAGCAATGAATGAAGACATATTTCTCTGTCTACATGTTATTATTTAAAAATTATTCAAATTCATAGGCAAAATAATGTCATGTTTTTTGCCTTTATCTGAATTTCTTGACTTACAGTGATTTTGAGCATCTTTCAGATGATAAATGGATAATTGTAATTCCATGTGAAAACTCTATGTATGCTCTTTTGTTCATTTGTTGAGAAATTTTATTATTGGTTTGTGAAATATCTTTATTCATGAAGGAAATGAAGCCTTTGTCTATTTCTGAATATTCCATCATTTAAAAGTAGGCACTTGATATGCAGAACTATTTATTCTATATTTAATCAAATATATTTATGTTTATTTCATTGTTTCATTCTTTTTTATACTTACAAATTCATTTCCATCCACACATATATTTATTTAAATCTATATATTTACTATCGGAAGGAAGGTTGGGCAATCTACTTCTGTAGTGATACCACCTTGGAAACCCAAGGAGGGGTCCCTATGAGTCGGATCTGATTTTACTTAAATTTCCTTCTAGATTATAAATAAATTAATATTTCCTGTGTAATGTTCACTCTAAATTGTTTGATTTGTGATTTGTGGTCAGGGTCCAACTTTTGTGTGTGTGAGTATGTGTCATATAGCCAACTTTCTGAGATACACTCATCCAATGTTACTCATCATTTTTAAATATTGTCAACAGTAATATATTGCATTTTTCATAAAGATATATTAACTATTAATATATCTGTTGTTGTGTTGTTGTTAGATGTCATGGAGTGAACTCAAAGAGACCCCGTGTACAACAGAATGAGACACTGCCTGGTCCTGTGCCATCCTCACACTCATTGCCATGCTTCAGCCATAGTTGCAGCCACTGTGTCAATACATCTTGTTGAGGGACTTTCCCTTTTATGCTGACTTTACTAAGATTGATATCCTTCTCCAGAGACTGGTCCCTTCTGAAAACATGACCAAAGTACAAAAGATGAAGACTGGCCATTCTCATTTCTAAGGAGTATTCTGCTGTACTTCCAAGATAAATTTGTTTATTCTTCTGAGAGTCCATGGTATTTTCAGTACTTTTTTCCCCAACACCATGATTCAAAAGCATCAATTCTTCTTCTGTCTTTCATATTCACTGGCCATTTTTCACTTGCATATGAAGCTATTGAAAATATCATGGCTTGGGTTAGGCGTACCCTAGTTTTCAAAGTGACATCTTTGTTCCTTTAAAATTTTAAAGGGGTCTTTTGCAGCAGATTTGCCCAATGCAATGCATTGTCTGATTTCTTGACTGCTGCCTCCATGGGTATTGATTGTGGACCCAAGTAAAAGGAAATACCTGGCAACTTCAATCTTTTCTCCATTTATCATGATACTGCTTATTCTTCCTATTGTGAGGATTTTTGTTTCCTTTATATTGAGCTGTAATCCATCCTGAAAACTGTAGTGTTTGATCTTCATCAGTAAGTGCTTTAAGACCTCTTTGCTTTCAGCAAAAAGGGTTGTGTTGTCTGCATATCCCAGGTTGTTATGAATCTTTCTCCAATTCTGATGCCACATTCTTTTTCATATACTTGAAATTCTCAGATTTGCTCAGCATACAAATTGAATAATTATAATGAAATGATACAATCCTGACACATATTTTCCTGATTTTAAATGATGCAGTATCCCACATGTTGTTGTTGTTGTTATGTGCCGTCAAGTTGGACCCGACTCATAGTGACCCCTCCTTGGGTTTCCAAGGCAGTATCACTATGGAAGTAGATTGTCCCATCTTCCCTCCGAGGAGTGGTTGGTGGGTTTGAACCACCAGCCTTCTGGTTAGCAGTCAAGTGCCTTAGCCACTATGCTACCAGAGCTCCTGTCACATAGTACTTGCTATCTACTAGACACTGTCTTAGGACTTTATATATGTTAATATAGTGATATTTGCTGGATAATCCATTTACTTATGTCTAGTCCATTCCTAAAATGTAAGATCCTTGGGGTCAGGGATCACATTCTGATTTTATAGCATTCCTGTTTATTGCTGTTGTATGCTGTTGAGTTGAGTCTGACAACACTATAGAGAAGAGTAGTACTGTCCCATGTTGTTATTTTGCCATTGAGTCCGACCTGACTCATAGCGACCCCTCCTTGGGTTTCTGAGGCAGTATCACTATGGAAGTAGATTGTTCAATCTTCCTTCTGAGGAGTGGCTGGTGCGTTTGAATCACCAGCCTTCTGGTTAGCAGTCAAGTGCCTTAGGCACTATGCTATCAGAACTGTCCCATAGGATTCTGCAATCTTTTTTGGAAGTTTCCTGGTAGCACAATGGTTAAAGCATTCAGATGCTAATCAAAAAGGTTAATGGTTCAATCCCAACAGCCTCTCAGTGGGAGAAAGATATGGCAGTATGTTTCTGTAAAATAAAGATGTACAGTGTTGGAAAAGCCTATGGGACAGTTTTACTCTGTCCCATAGTGTTGGTAAAGAATCTCTGGTGGTGTAGTGATTAAAACATTGGGCTGCTAACCAAAAGGTCAGTGGTTCAAACCCATCAGCCACTCCATGAGAGAAACATGAGGCAATCTGCTTCAATAAAGATTTACAGTCTTAGAAATGCTATGCATCAGTTATACTCTCTGATTGTGAGTCAGAATGGACTCAGTAGCAGTGGGTTATGGTGTCACTCTGAGTCAGAATTGAACCAAACCTAATCCACTGCTGTGAAATCAATTCTGACTCAAGATCACTAGTTTAGCAGCCAAGCTAAACTGTAACCATTAAAACACCATTGCTGTAATATCTGAAAAAGTGACTGGTATATGGTTATTATTCAGTAAAACTGAATTAACAGTTACATTGGGAACTGGGCTGGGTATATAGCTGAGAGAGTATATTTAAACAGGAATGAGCATAATGATATTTTCTCCATTTCATCACTGTGTCTCTTTCTCTGTCTTTTTCTCCCTCTTACTGAGTTGATGGATTAGAATGAAAATTCAATTGACTTTTAAGGTGATATTTAAACAAAGCTGTACAAAAAAAGACAATGCATTTGTAAGATGATTTAAAAGGAGATATATCTTTACAAGGAGATGAAACATATACCCTGATTCATTGCATGACCTCATACAATACTAGAGGTCCTATGCAGGGGGCTTCAGAGCAGGTAATTTGAAGGCCCCTCAGGGTTCTTCAACACAGATATGTAAATAAGTAAGTCATCACACGATATACTAAGGACCACAGGGATAGTATACCAAAGTGGAAAAAAAAGGCAGATTTGCAAAATTTTAAAAGTGGCATGTGCACACATTGTTTAGCCATTTTAAAGATTAAAAAAGAGAGAGAGAGAGAGAGAGAGAGAGAGATCTGAATCCTATAGGGATTAGTACCTTCTGTTTCAACTCATTGCTGGTGAGTGGTTAAAACTGGAATTAGTTTCCTAAGTCTAGGCTAGTGCTCTTTCCATGCTATCATATTTTTGGGCAGATGATGGATCTATATGATGGACTTCTTGAATCCTGGGAAGAATATCCTTGAGGCTGGCTTGCAGTCCATTCTACTTGATCTGGGAAAGCATATCCTTGAGAGAGAGAGATCCTAAGCCCTTCTTGAGGCTTCTGCTGGCTGTTTGGGGGTGACAGTCAACAGAGATCCCTTCTGATAGGTCTTACACCAGCAATACTTCTGAATGGGGGCTCAAGAAATTTCCTGGAGCCAGCCTGGATGGTGATCACAATTTTTCTTTCTTTCAGGTCTCTTGTTTGGTGTGATATGTACCTCCATGGCTGTGGCTGCATCTCTCATGGGGGGCATCATACAGGTAATGAAAGAGAACAAAAACACTATTGATATCATAACATCTTTTCCCCATTCTCTTTTCTAAAACCTTGTTTACTACTCCAAGGCCCAAATGCTCTGACTCACTGATGTTGTTGTTTGTTGTTGTTTGCCGTCGAGTCGGACCAACTCATAGCGACCCCTCCTTGGGTTTCCAAGGCAGTATCATTATGGAAGTAGGATTGCCCAACCTTCCTTCCGAGGAATGGTTAGCAGTCAAGTGCTTTAGGCACTATGCTACCACTGATACCAGGTCAAAATTATACACCCTATAAAATATCAGCCAAAATTATTGCCAGAGGGGAAACTGGTAAACCAATAAGGAGGTTCAGTTACAAGATTCTTGGTGATAAAAGTAGAAATCCTCTTAAAAGTTGAGTCTGAGAATGTATGATTTTACAATAAAATAATAATAATTATTATTATAGTAAATACAATAATAAAAATTAATATTTTTGCAACACCTACTATGTTCCAAGGATATCTGTTATTGTTGTTAAAGCATTGGGCTGCTAACCAAAAGGCTGGCAGTCCAAACCCATTAGACACTCCTTGGGAAAAAGATGAGGCAGTCTGCTTCCATAAAGATTTACAGCCTGGAAACTCTAGGAGGAAGTTCTATTCTGTCTGATGGGGTCACTGTGAATTGGAATAGAATCAATGGCAGTGGGTGGGGACTATATTCCAGGTACAGTCCTAAATGCAATATCTTCATTTAATCTTTACCACTTCTCTATGAGGTAGTATGATTGATGTACTCATTTTACAGATGAAGAAACTAATTAATAAAGATATGAAGTCATTTTCCTAAAGTCACTTACACTGATGAAGTTGAGATACAAACTCACCTCTATTTATTACCAAGGTGAAATGCCTCCCATATGTCCAACTCCAAGTTCCTTAGAATGACAGCACTGGAAGGAACCTCAAGGAGAGATAATCTTCCCAAGAGCTTCATTTCGTAGATGATTACATAAAGGTGAAAATGACATGCTCAAGTTCTCACAGCTAGTTACTAGATGAGCTAGGTTTATGAACCAGGTCTCTCTAACCAGCAGATCCTTCCTCACCCCCCAAAAATTACCCAGTTCACAAAGCAGCATCAGGTTCAACTTCAAGCTTCTAAGCCCATCTTGTAGCATTGTGCAATTTGAACATTATCTGATTTTGTTGGCATAGAATGGGTTTAGATGCATATTGTTTAAATAAAGAAATGGATGAAAGTGAGTGAATCCTAATCATGGCCTTTTATAGATTCTAGTTCACAGTGCAATGTATCTTATTTGAACCTTCTAATGACCACTTGCATTGATTGAATAATTTTCATTTTAAGGTTCAGGAAACTGAGACTGGGAGATTTAAGTGGCCTACATAGGAGCAGTAGTAGGGCTAGAAACCAGGTGTCCTCTCTATGAAGTTATGAACTTCCCATTTATCACAAGTACGTGATAATCTCTTTCCAATTTTTGAAGAATTTTGGTATCTACTTTCCATGTGGCAGAATTGGCAAGGTAATGAGGTTTGCATATAGTGATCTCTACTGCAGTGCCTAAGGCATTTGACTGCTAACCAGAAGGCTCATGGTTCAAACCCACCACTCACTCCTCAGAAAGAAGACTAGGGAATCTACTGCCATAGGTACCACCTCAGAAACCCAAGGAGCAGTTGCTGTGAGTCAGAAATGACTCAACAGCAGTGAGTTTGGTTTTGGTATTCAAGGAGGCTATATTTTCCAGTTGCTTCTGATGCCAGGTGGTCCATTGCTTTCTCCCTTTATCCAATCATTACTTACTTAAGGATGTGTCATCATGTCCAATTTAGTGAGAATGTGAGTCATCAAATTGTTTTCTTCCAGATATATTTGCATTTAAGGCTCATTTATGTATGAGATATGGAAAGCTTCAGAAGAGGCAAGGACTCCTCCAAAGCCAGCAGTCGTGAGTGATCTGCTGAGTCCATTTTCTTGATTTAGGGTTAAATATGTACCATACAATTCACATAGTTCAGGAGATGCTGACAGACAAGAAATGAAAACCCTGATCTTTTGTTTCTTAGGAGAAGTTTTTATTTCTAAGGTGGCCCCTTCATTTCCCTGAACACATCTGACTTTGACAGGCATAGAAAGGCATCTTTAATTTCCCTATTTGATTGCCCAAATAGCTTTGCTCTATTGAATATAATGGAAGCACTTTTATATTCAGATTTTGCATATGGAAAGACTGAGTCCTGTAGGTGTGGGAGATGGAAACAGATTCTTAATTTCATGTTCACAAAACCACATCACACTCATTGTGCTTGTGGGTGGCACTGAGTGGAGTGGAGGGAAGCAGCTTTCAGCTCCTTAAATATAGACTCTTTCCATGCTTCAGTCTAGGATGTTACAAATTATGTTCTAGAGAATATTGTCCTGCAAAATGCTCAAAAAGAAAAAGCAATCCCAAAGTCAAAGATGTCTGTGAAATGCTACATACTGCATTCCCCTCTCAGAGATCCACAATACTCATTAGTATATGGGATGCTCTAGGGAGTCCTGCTGAAAAGAAACCTGTATCACTAGATATGTGACCACAGAATTGTGTGTGGGGGCTGGGAGCTGGGTAACACCAGCAAAAATCTCCTGTCAACTAGTGTTTCTCAGAACTCCTGTTGGAAAAGCATTCTATCCAACATTCTGTCTCAGTAGTCAGAGCATGTAGTATTAACAGTATTAATAATAATAATAGCAACTACCATTTTCAGAACTTATCATACACTCCATAGTATTTAGGCATTATTCTGAGCTTTCTTGTGGATCCCTAATTGCCTTTTCTTATCTGCCTCCATCTTGCCAATTTTTTTTTTTTTTCTGCAAAATTGACTTTTCTGAAAATTAACCTTGAAAAGTAATCATTTCAATACATTGTGGCTCATCTATCTGGACAAAGGAGGTTACATTGTGACTGGAGGGGACTTTATTTTTGCCCCATTCTTTTTGTTTTTTACAGAGGAAGAAGATAATTCTCTAAAGTAGGATGCCTGTGAGTTAATAACAGGAGACTCATTAAACTCTATTTACATGTGGCAGTTCCATGATTAGAATGATCAGAACCCCAATTTACTATTTGTTCACTGTATTCTTTCTAAAACTCTTTTTGTTTAAGAAGAAGAGACTGTGGTGGTGGTTTGTTCTCCTGACATTTCCAAAAAGAGAGGGAGAGAGAGAAAGCCCACTGTTTAGAGACAAAAACATACGTTTTAGAGTCAGACCTAACCCAAACCAAACCCACTGCCACTGAGTCAATTCTGACTTACAGTGACCTACAGGACAAAGTAGAGCATCCCCATAGGGTTTCCAAGGCTGTAAAGCTTTATGAAGTCAACTGCCTCATCTTTCTCTTGTGGAGCAGCCACCGACTTTTTGGTTAGCAACTGAATGCTTTAACTACTGTGCCACCAGAGTTCTTTTCTAGAGCCAGACAGTTGGATTTAATTCTTAGCTCTGCCACTTTCTAATTAGAAGTAAACCTTCAGCAGCTTTTCTGTAGGCTCCAATTAACTTATCTATAAAATGGGATTAGTGCCACCTACTAAACAGGATCATTATGAAGATTAAATGAGATAATTTTCTAGAGTGCCTAGATACTAAAAACCACACTCATTGCCATCAAGGTGACTGCAATTCATAGTGACTCTATGGCACAGAGTAGAACTGTTCCAAAGGGCTTCCAAAGCTGCAAATCTTTACGGAAGCAGTGCCTCATCTTTCTCCCATGGCAAGTGGGTTCCAGTGGCTGACCTTGGTTCGCCCCTGAATGCTTTAACCACTGCACCACCAGAGCTCCTCTAAGTACCTAGATAGTTCATCTTAATCATCTGGCATGTAGGTGATACCTGGCAAGAACAATATGTAAGGAGTACCCTTTGTAAAATCTTTAGAGCCTCACAATCTCAGCCATTTAATCTCAAAGCCCTAAAGTTTCAGAACTGATAGAATGAGATGGGGTTGCATTGCAGAGTGCCTGTGTGTGTGGATGTGTGTTGTGTGTGTGTACACATACATGCTCACTTTATGTGTGTCATAGCATGTGCATTTGCAAGACTCTTGGGACAGTGAATTAGTGAATTGACAGTTGTTTCTCAATTCATTGGATTTAGCAATTTAGAGAATTCCAGATAAGGAAATTATTTTTAAACTCTCTCATTCCCAAAAGAGATCAGAGCCATAAGTGCAAGGAGGAATAAACTGGAATATAGAGTGTCCAGTGCTGTACCCACAGTGTGTCAGCTTAAAATTTTGACATCCTAGAGGTGTTCTGGATGGAGCATGGTGAGGACAGCAGACAATTATTATGATCAAAATTATAGAATTGTTCAAACTAATTAGAGCAGCTGATCAACTGTGCAAGACATGAAACTAAGTTATAAATCTAATTCTTTGGTATATTTTGAAAAACCTTTTTGGTAAAACAGAAAATATAAACAAATAAATGGCTTTCAGCTGAAGGCAACTTGCCTCTCCCAAGAAACCTAGAAGAGAAATGATTCCGGAAAGCATATGGTTGATGAGTAACTCTGTTGAGGCTAGGATCAAGACTTTTTCCAGGTCCCAGGGAGGGAAAGGAGTAGTGGTCCCAGGTGGAGCTTGGATGCAGTGGATTAAGGGGCTTTTTCTGGTCTACTTTGTCCCGCAGGCTGCCCTTAGCATCCATGGCATGTGCGGAGGACCAATGCTTGGCTTGTTCACTCTGGGGATTGTATTCCCTTTTGTGAACTGGAAGGTAAGAATGCCATATCCCTTCTCATACTTCCCAGCTAACACTGGGCCCCAGCCATTTTCTCTCCTCTCACCCCACCTTGGAAAGTTTGTCTTTACCAGGAAAAGAATGGTGACTTCTTTCCATAGAAGAACTAAACAAAACCAGAGCCTGTCTCTGACTTCAGTGAAGACTTTTAGAAACTGAAAGCAGATGGGGAGAGTTAATCATGAAATACTGCATGCTACGGCACAAAGACAGATTCTTTCAGATTTAAATTAAAAATTTTCCTTAAATGAAGGACCCCAAAAATATAATTTAAAATAAACATTGAATTCAGAAGCAGTTTAATTAAAGCACAATTGTTAAAACTTAAAAAAATATATTTAATTTTCAGTTTTTCTGTAAGTACCTAAAATTACATCTAACTTAATTAAACTAATTAACCAGTTTAAGAAGGGGTGAGGGGACTAGCATGGGATATTCTGACAAATTGATAGCAGGTCCTTAAGTAAATTTTGGTGAATGTGTAGTAAGTATACATCAAAGTAAACACTTATTTGGAAAAATAACAACATAATATTTAAAAATATTTTAAAAGTCATAATTATTAATTCTAAGAAGAGTAATTTTTCATTTATTGACATCCACACACCTAAATGCTTGTATTATTTAGAAGTCTTTAGACATGAGGAAACCTGGCTCGACCAGGATCATCACCTTTTATTTTCTGGTCTTTGCTAGACTATTGTTTACAAGGGAAATAACTTACTGTGTTTTTACTGTTTCTCAAGATGTATTTCCCGTAAATGACAAGGATAGTAAATCTACTTGCTGGTGTTTGGAGTCTGTGGACTCTGTCTTTATTTACGGCCTTTAGGGTACTCGATGAAGCTTTAGCTACGGCACCCCTTACTAGGTGTCTGCGGCTATCTGACCCTTATTGGGCTTTGCCCTAGATGAATCCTGTGGAGCTAGGCAAAGAGAGGGGGCAGGGTAGAGAGTATTTTGACATTTGAGCACTTCTCCTGCATCCTGTTAGGAGAGGTTTTGTCTTAACAAAATTTTCTGATTTTAGTTGACAAGGATAGTTTGGACTTTGGAGAGGCAATATTAGGGAAGGCAATATTCCAGCCACAGAAAAACTACCTACTTTAGTACATTCTTAACACTGATTTGTTAGCTATGTTAATTAATTATGGTCCTTCTATTAGTGAGGAAAACTTGTTCTAGGTAGAGTAATATTACAAATTTCTGTCACCCCTGCCTTTGTCATTGGCCGTGGCTGACTCCACTTATCAGTCATGGTTCTCCTTCCCATGGAATGTGGACACAACCTCGGAATCCATCTTAACCT